ACAGGGTACGGTATGTTATTTTGAGTATTTAACTTCTTCTCCGCAAGCACACCGCTCGACTGCATATTTTCGATCTATTCAAACTTTGTAAATGGCAATAGCATCAAAAGAATCCTCGCTTAAAAAAATCTCCTCTAGGCTGCGACCCGTATGAATAACCCGAAAACTTTCCACGAGTACTCGCGTATCTCCAACTTGCAACAGAGGTGGTGTACCCTCAGAGGTCAACTAGAAATCAAGACCAGCGACAAACTCCAAATTCCTATGGATCAAGTGGAACCCGCTAGCGAGATTGTCAAACGATTTGTTACTGGTAAGCCCACCTCATTCTCCAGATTCTCAAGTAATCAAAAATTACAGGAGCCATGTCATTTGGTTCGATCTCTTGGGAAGCGCATACGACATTGGCGATTGCGATGAATCGCATAGGAGCTAAATCTAATACGGGCGAAGGAGGAGAGAAGCCTGAACGATATGCAAGTAATCAGGATCCGAACAATAACTTGCGTTCAGCCATCAAACAGGTGAGACAGTGAAATGGGAAATGAACCATCACAATCCCCACAGTCGCCCTCGTAGGAGTCGTGTCGGGACCAGTGCGCCTTTCTCCTTTCCCACAGGCACTCTCGCTGTTTGCACTGCCATTCCTAGCTGTAGTACATTTCGTATGATCAAAATCTCCAAAATGCGGCGCTTTTGTGCTGAAGCGTCTACAGCATCGCTCTAGCTGAATTAGATAGGACATATTTGTTTTAAGGCGTAAATTGTAATAGTTCAAACTTTCCTTGGAGCCATGGTGGAGCCAGGGTCCGACATGGTTTTTTTCAAATTAAGATCCTCTTTGTGACGTTACGAAAACATGAACTGACGCTTCTTCAGGTTGCTTCTGCTCGATTTGGCGTCACATCGTCCTACCTCGCACATGCCGACGAACTGCAAATCAAAATGGCACAAGGTTGGACTTTCTGTGGATCGTTAGACGATCAGCGTACTGTAGCGATTATTATTTTGCATCTCTAGGTGCAAAACCTGGAGAAGGTGGTGAACTACCAGGTCATAAAGTCACCAAGGACATCGCCGACACTAGGAAGTCGACAGCAGGAGTCGGACTGATCTCTCCACCACCACACCACGATATCTATTCGATTGAAGATCTCGCACAATTAATTTATGATCTCAAATGTGCCAATCCGGACGCGAGAGTCAGTGTTAAACTTGTCTCCGAAGCCGGTGTTGGTATCATTGCATCGGGTGTTGTGAAAGGTTTTGCGGATCATGTAACAATTTCGGGTCACGATGGTGGCACTGGAGCTTCTAGGTATGTGCTTGATATCTTCTTGAAAAGCACCGTTTACCAGAAAGATTCTGTGGTTTTGACGCTGTTCAATAGAGGGGTCCCTAGCTAAGTAATCACCCAAATCCCGCTGCAAAAGATAAATTCCAAGGCGAGAAAATAGCTTTAGAAAGTAGAAGCGTCTGAGATGGTTCCGCCCATCTAGGGGGTGGTCTAAAGACAATGAGCTCGGAAGCCGGCTTCAGGGTAGATAAAAGATCGAAAATCTGGTCATAATAATGAAGGGGGATTCATGACGACTCCAGATATGTAAAAACTCGATAATTGACTTAGACCACCCACGTTGATGGGCGGAGCCACTTGGGCCGCATTTACTTTATGAAGCCATTTTTTCGCTTTCGAATTCATCTTTTAGAGCGGGACTTGGGCGATTTACTTAGTTAGGGGCCCACTATTATAGAACATCGAAATCTCAGAATCTCAATTTGCGGACGGTGCCTTTAGCAGCTAAAAACTATTATATTTACTTTTAGCTGGACTGGCATCAAACATGCTGGACTACCATGGGAGCTCGGTGTTGCTGAAACACATCAAGTATTGACAATGAATAATCTTAGGAACAGAGTTACTATTCAAGCTGATGGACAGATACGAACTGGTAATTACTATTTGACTGGCAACTCAAATAAATGAAGATTGTTCCTCATTTTTGACACTTATAGGTCGTGACGTAATGGTCGCTGCACTTCTTGGAGCGGACGAGTTCGGCATGTCTACAGCACCGCTCATTGTTCTCGG